ATTTTCAGATTTTCGAAAAACTACCAAGCATCTCTCCCTTAAGAGAAGAAAGGAATAGAAAACATAAAAATTAGAATAATATTGTTTTTAATTATTTCTAAATTTACAAAGTATAGAAATTATTTAATTTTTAAGCAATACTTTAAATACAATTTTTATACTAAATCAAGGTTAAAATAAGAAGAAACCTCCAATAAAGAAGAAAGAAAGAAAAAAGTTTTGTGAGTGCTGTAAGTTTTTAAAACGTAGCGTGTGTTCGTTCGTTTCTATGGATTTTACTGTTGCTGATGATTATCGAAGACGGATTTGTACATATACCTGTGTTCGCTTCTGTCGATTTGTAAGGATGGATTACAGTGGATTTGCGGGATACGTTTGTATATGGTCACTCGCATATATGCGACGATTTATGCTGATTGTGAATAAAATTTCACTTTTTTCCTTAATACATTTGATAATACCAGCAGAGAGAAAAGGGAAAAATAACATACGATTCTGAGATGGGTTAATCGATTCCAGATGTGGTTGCAGACGCTGTGGTTGCAGACGCTGTATCCGGTTACAGTTATCAGAATTTTTTTTTGAATCAGTGTATTCGGTTATGGGACTGCGTAATCGATTACGCTGCAAATGTATATGAATGGTGGGTGGTGTATTCGGTTACTGGATGCTGTAATCTGTTACGCGTTTTCTGGTTAAGTGTGGTGAAGAGGCGGATTCGGTTACGGGCTGCGTTATTGTGCTCCACCAAGCTTGATCGTTCTTCCATGCTTCGTCCGATGGGTGATTTGATATATAACATGGTTGGTGTTGAGTGGTGTGGTCAGAAGGTTGATGCACATCCAAAGGTCCATGAAGCACTGCATGGAGGAGGCGGAGAAGTGATCCGGACATGGCAGTGGAAGGAGTTCGTTGTATATCATCACCCCTAACATTTTCATTTTGTTGCAGGTTTTAGGAAGCAAAACTGGGGGCTTGGTTAGCTGGTGAAGTTGTTGAAGACGACCTTCTCCTTCAAATACCTCTTACCCTCCCTTCGTTTTCTTTCCTCTTTGTCCTCGACCTCGACTTTATCCTCAGGTGTTTCTGGGTTCGTGACCCCAGATCCTCGATCATCGGAGGCGCGGGCGTTGAGCTCTGGCCCCGCAAAATTGCTACTGCTTCTTTCTCCCTTCAAGACATGAAGACCGTCAAGACTGTCGTTAATGCGATAAATTTTCCTTTCCCTGTCTCTCTCTCTTTTCTTCTTTTATTTTTATTACTATATACCAAATCAAATTATTCTTCTTCACCCTCCTCATTTTAGGCATTCAAAATTGACAACTCCTACTTTCCATAATTTGAATTTATAAACGGAAACAATATTAAAAAATCATGCAATTTAGTTCACCTTTCTCCATACTTCTTTTTTATTTCTGCTTTATATTACTGGCATCGTCTATTTTTTTTTAACAGTTTCGTCGTTACCAGTTCTCCTCTCCGATGAATAAATTCATCAATTTATTTCAAACTGATCAATATTGTATGATTATATATTATGTTGTGATTATGCTAGGTTTATAATGTTTGTTTAATTCTTTTGATTAGTTGAATATATTAATGTATATATGAATTATGTTTATTCAATATATCAATGCATGATTTTAATTATACTATGTATATATGTTTAAGTAAATCTTATGGAAGAATATATAGATTTATCATATTTGGAGAGTGAAGATATAGATGATGATGTGGTTGGTGTAGCAAATAAATTGATATCACTTCGTAGCAAATTATATTACAAGCAAATACTACATTTTAAAATTAATTTATTTTATAACATTATAACTTTTTTAATTTTTAAACATTAATTTTATAAATTATTTATAATTTTGTCTCTTTATAAACAATTTTACAATTAAATATAACATTAATAAATAATATTTTATATTACTTTTATAACTAAGGGCATTTTGGTAATCTTTAATTTCTACCCATTAAACTAATTTTTAAAATTTATCACATCAATCAAATCCTACCTTAATTCCCACAAACTTTACTTCGAAATTCACTCTCAATTACCCACAAATCCACTCAAAAAAACAACTACAAAATTATTCTCAAAACCACTCAAATCCATTCTAATCATCCCCCAAATCATCTCCCCCTATACACCAAAAAAGAATAAAGCCTTAAACTTTTCCTTCTAAGTACATACCCTGTTGGCTATACGTATAAAGCAATAAACGATAACCTTAAAGCTGTTCGTCCGAGTGAACTCGGTAACTACAAGCTGATTGTTGATAACTCATATCAGAGAGAGACCCAAAGAGAAGCTGCAAAAATGGGTACTGTCTCTCTTCTTAAGTGCTACAGACCCTTATTCTCTACGCTTTTTCCTCGCTCCCCTCCATCAACACCCCACGCAGCCATCTTCAGGAGGAAGAACCCGCGGTCCTTCTGCGCCTGCTCGTCTCCGCCGTTGACGGCTGAGAAGGATTGCGGCAAATCCGACGCCGAGGGTTTCACCCTGAAGAAAACTGCGCCGGAGGTATGGCTGCACAACACCATGAGTAAAACAAAACAACTCTTCAAACCCAAAGTGGAATCCAAAGTGGGAATGTACGTGTGTGGCGTCACCGCCTACGATCTCAGCCATATTGGACATGCACGCGTGTATGTCAATTTCGACCTTCTTTACAGGTTTCTCTCTTCTCTTCGTACACGCTTAATTCAATCGTATCCTCCTTTTCGATTTGGCACTAATTGGTTTTCTCTGCTTGACAATTAGGCAGATACTTTAAGCATCTGGGATTTGAAGTCTGTTATGTTCGCAATTTTACTGACGTTGATGACAAGGTCAGTGAGTGAGTGTCTATTTCCTGTTTTCTGTGCCTCCTTGCCATTTTCTCATTAAAAAAAAAACAATTTTTATGGTTCTTTGTTGTCTCATATGTCTAATATCTTCATAATACACAAGTTGGCATCCTTAAGGCAATTTTATTCGTTAATTAGTGACGCGTCTTTCAGCTTATTGCTTGGCTCCTGTTTTAATAGCTTTAGGGTCTGTGCCTTTGTTTTCATTAGGTTAAGGTGTTTAGCTTTTCGCTTGTTCAAAATATTAATAACTAGCAGATAAAGAAGTGACGAAAATCTTCGAGATGATATTTTTGCAACTAAGCCTGAATTTGCTCTTAGTAGAGGATGGTAATGAGGTGGGTCGGGAATTTGTCGTGGGTTTGAACTAGGTCTTGTTTGGTCAACTTCTTTTCATAATTACTTATAGGAAAAGTAAATAAGAGGGTATAATGAATTGGGTTTCTCTCAAAAGTTAAAATCAACTTATGTATCTTAGCTGTTGGAGAAGTTAAATGGGATAGCTTGTACAAAAGTTAAGTACGAAATGATTTTAACTCATGAGAGAATCTCCATTTATTTTACTTTTTTCATTTTCTTGTCATAAAAACACTTATACAGAAGTTTATCCAAAAAAAACCTTTTACGCGACTCGTGGCCATTCACTTGTTAGTTGTTACCCTAAAAACAGTAGTTCTTAATCGTTTAGAGTTTAGACCTTAAGAATTTGTAGACAAGTTTTGAGTCTGATTATATCCATTTGTTAAAAATGCAAAGTACCCACTGTTTTTTAATTGCTATTACAGGATCTTAGTCTGCACTTTTCAATATGTAGATAATTGCTAGAGCGAAAGAGTTAGGACAAGATCCAATCAGTTTGAGCCGGCACTATTGTGAAGAATTCTGTCGAGACATGATAACTCTTAATTGTCTGCCTCCCTCTGTGGAACCAAAGGTCTCGGGGCACATGCCCCAAATCATTGATATGATTGAGAAGGTACTGATACTCTCCATTTACTGTGGCATTAAAATGCACAATAGAAGATATACAAATTTTAGACTGTTTATTCATATTCCATTTCTACACAACCTTAGATACGTTATTGGTAGATGGAATGCTTCTCTTCATAGCTTATTAGAAAACTCTATTTTGTTTTCTGGTTAATAAATACAATGTTGATTTGCTTCGTTATTGATCCGTTAACATGCTTGTTGACAGATTCTTAATAACGGGTATGCCTACATTGTTGATGGGGATGTATACTTTAATGTAGAAAAATTTCCAGAATATGGGAAATTATCCAGTCGAGATCTAGAAGATAACCGAGCTGGTGAAAGGGTTGCAGTTGACTTAAGGAAGAAAAACCCTGCTGATTTTGCTCTGTGGAAGGTATGATATATCAGTGACAATTGACAAATATTGATAACATTATCTGTTAAATATGTTGATATCTTACATATTACAAATCAATGATTATTAAATTCTTGAAATCTTAATTTAGTTTGGAACTTATTGTGAATTTCCAATGCTATGTTGCAGTCTTCAAAGCCTGGGGAGCCATTTTGGGAAAGTCCCTGGGGTCCTGGAAGACCTGGGTGGCATATTGAATGCAGTGCCATGAGTGCAGCTTATCTTGGTTACTCTTTTGACATCCACGGTGGAGGAATTGATCTTGTGTTTCCTCACCATGAGAATGAAATTGCTCAGAGTTGTGCTGCTTGCAAGAAAAGTGATATAAGCGTATGGATGCACAATGGTTTTGTTACAATTGATTCTGTGAAGATGTCGAAATCTTTGGGAAATTTTTTCACAATACGTCAGGTGACTCATCCCTGATGGTTTAAATTTATCCTACTTAAGTATATTGTCTTTTTTATTAGACAAGAACTATTTAGTCTATGATGAAGGACCTACAATTTTTATTTGTTGATGGTTACCATTCAAAGGGTTGTATTTTGATGCCATAAATATTGTTTAATCAGGTTATAGACATTTACCATCCACTGGCTTTGAGATATTTTTTGATGAGTGCTCATTATCGATCTCCTGTTAACTACTCAAATATACAACTTGAAAGTGCTTCAGACCGTATCTTTTATATATATGAGGTATTACTATGCATTTTCCCCTGGGTGTTCTTAAATAGGCTTGCTTCTTTAATGTGTCAGCATGTATGTTATGTGGACTATCTTGATTGTTTTGTGTGTTTGCAGACATTACACGAATGCAAAAGCTTCTTGAATCAGCATGATCAGACAACCAGAAAAGATTCCATCCCACCAGATACATTGAATATTATTGATAAGTTCCATGATGTTTTTCTGACCTCAATGTCGGATGATCTTCACACGCCAGTTGTATTGGCTGGAATGTCTGATCCCTTAAAATCAATAAATGATTTGTTGCATACCCGTAAGGTATGGGGTTTTCTCGTTTATAGCTGAAGTTATTATGTAATTATGGTTTAATATTGGTTTTAAATGAACTCAAGGTTTGGAAATGAACAACTATAGCATTATTTCATCTTATTGTTGGTGTGCAATTTTGGTTTTTTAGGTTAATGTCAGTCGATCAACCTCTGGTTTTGGTCATACTTGTATCTAACAATCAATCTTGCTTCAAGCAAACCTATATTTCAAGTTGTTTACTTGCTAAGTGTTACATGATGCCAATAACCTAATATTTGCGAAGGATCAGTAAAAGGGTTTTGTGCATATCTCTTCATGGTTTTCCATCTCTATAGATGTGGTCTTTAATTGTGTTGTTTCATAGTTTCTGTGCTAGAAATGCATCTTCGAAATATCTTGGGGATGGTATTTTTTACTGCTTGGCACATGTGCAAATAAATTATATGAATTAAATACCGTTTATAACANGACAATTAGGCAGATACTTTAAGCATCTGGGATTTGAAGTCTGTTATGTTCGCAATTTTACTGACGTTGATGACAAGGTCAGTGAGTGAGTGTCTATTTCCTGTTTTCTGTGCCTCCTTGCCATTTTCTCATTAAAAAAAAAACAATTTTTATGGTTCTTTGTTGTCTCATATGTCTAATATCTTCATAATACACAAGTTGGCATCCTTAAGGCAATTTTATTCGTTAATTAGTGACGCGTCTTTCAGCTTATTGCTTGGCTCCTGTTTTAATAGCTTTAGGGTCTGTGCCTTTGTTTTCATTAGGTTAAGGTGTTTAGCTTTTCGCTTGTTCAAAATATTAATAACTAGCAGATAAAGAAGTGACGAAAATCTTCGAGATGATATTTTTGCAACTAAGCCTGAATTTGCTCTTAGTAGAGGATGGTAATGAGGTGGGTAGGGAATTTGTCGTGGGTTTGAACTAGGTCTTGTTTGGTCAACTTCTTTTCATAATTACTTATAGGAAAAGTAAATAAGAGGGTATAATGAATTGGGTTTCTCTCAAAAGTTAAAATCAACTTATGTATCTTAGCTGTTGGAGAAGTTAAATGGGATAGCTTGTACAAAAGTTAAGTACGAAATGATTTTAACTCATGAGAGAATCTCCATTTATTTTACTTTTTTCATTTTCTTGTCATAAAAACACTTATACAGAAGTTTATCCAAAAAAAACCTTTTACGCGACTCGTGGCCATTCACTTGTTAGTTGTTACCCTAAAAACAGTAGTTCTTAATCGTTTAGAGTTTAGACCTTAAGAATTTGTAGACAAGTTTTGAGTCTGATTATATCCATTTGTTAAAAATGCAAAGTACCCACTGTTTTTTAATTGCTATTACAGGATCTTAGTCTGCACTTTTCAATATGTAGATAATTGCTAGAGCGAAAGAGTTAGGACAAGATCCAATCAGTTTGAGCCGGCACTATTGTGAAGAATTCTGTCGAGACATGATAACTCTTAATTGTCTGCCTCCCTCTGTGGAACCAAAGGTCTCGGGGCACATGCCCCAAATCATTGATATGATTGAGAAGGTACTGATACTCTCCATTTACTGTGGCATTAAAATGCACAATAGAAGATATACAAATTTTAGACTGTTTATTCATATTCCATTTCTACACAACCTTAGATACGTTATTGGTAGATGGAATGCTTCTCTTCATAGCTTATTAGAAAACTCTATTTTGTTTTCTGGTTAATAAATACAATGTTGATTTGCTTCGTTATTGATCCGTTAACATGCTTGTTGACAGATTCTTAATAACGGGTATGCCTACATTGTTGATGGGGATGTATACTTTAATGTAGAAAAATTTCCAGAATATGGGAAATTATCCAGTCGAGATCTAGAAGATAACCGAGCTGGTGAAAGGGTTGCAGTTGACTTAAGGAAGAAAAACCCTGCTGATTTTGCTCTGTGGAAGGTATGATATATCAGTGACAATTGACAAATATTGATAACATTATCTGTTAAATATGTTGATATCTTACATATTACAAATCAATGATTATTAAATTCTTGAAATCTTAATTTAGTTTGGAACTTATTGTGAATTTCCAATGCTATGTTGCAGTCTTCAAAGCCTGGGGAGCCATTTTGGGAAAGTCCCTGGGGTCCTGGAAGACCTGGGTGGCATATTGAATGCAGTGCCATGAGTGCAGCTTATCTTGGTTACTCTTTTGACATCCACGGTGGAGGAATTGATCTTGTGTTTCCTCACCATGAGAATGAAATTGCTCAGAGTTGTGCTGCTTGCAAGAAAAGTGATATAAGCGTATGGATGCACAATGGTTTTGTTACAATTGATTCTGTGAAGATGTCAAAATCTTTGGGAAATTTTTTCACAATACGTCAGGTGACTCATCCCTGATGGTTTAAATTTATCCTACTTAAGTATATTGTCTTTTTTATTAGACAAGAACTATTTAGTCTATGATGAAGGACCTACAATTTTTATTTGTTGATGGTTACCATTCAAAGGGTTGTATTTTGATGCCATAAATATTGTTTAATCAGGTTATAGACATTTACCATCCACTGGCTTTGAGATATTTTTTGATGAGTGCTCATTATCGATCTCCTGTTAACTACTCAAATATACAACTTGAAAGTGCTTCAGACCGTATCTTTTATATATATGAGGTATTACTATGCATTTTCCCCTGGGTGTTCTTAAATAGGCTTGCTTCTTTAATGTGTCAGCATGTATGTTATGTGGACTATCTTGATTGTTTTGTGTGTTTGCAGACATTACACGAATGCAAAAGCTTCTTGAATCAGCATGATCAGACAACCAGAAAAGATTCCATCCCACCAGATACATTGAATATTATTGATAAGTTCCATGATGTTTTTCTGACCTCAATGTCGGATGATCTTCACACGCCAGTTGTATTGGCTGGAATGTCTGATCCCTTAAAATCAATAAATGATTTGTTGCATACCCGTAAGGTATGGGATTTTCTCGTTTATAGCTGAAGTTATTATGTAATTATGGTTTAATATTGGTTTTAAATGAACTCAAGGTTTGGAAATGAACAACTATAGCATTATTTCATCATATTGTTGGTGTGCAATTTTGGTTTTTTAGGTTAATGTCAGTCGATCAACCTCTGGTTTTGGTCATACTTGTATCTAACAATCAATCTTGCTTCAAGCAAACCTATATTTCAAGTTGTTTACTTACTAAGTGTTACATGATGCCAATAACCTAATATTTGCGAAGGATCAGTAAAAGGGTTTTGTGCATATCTCTTCATGGTTTTCCATCTCTATAGATGTGGTCTTTAATTGTGTTGTTTCATAGTTTCTGTGCTAGAAATGCATCTTCGAAATATCTTGGGGATGGTATTTTTTACTGCTTGGCACATGTGCAAATAAATTATATGAATTAAATACCGTTTATAACATTCCAAGTTCATAATCATGCAGGGGAAAAAACAACAATTTCGAATAGAGTCACTTACAGCTTTAGAGAAGAGCATCGGGGATGTCCTTACTGTTTTAGGACTAATGCCTGCAAGTTACTATGAGGTACGAATACATTTTGCTTTCTGTCACTGTTTTCTATTGTTTTTTTTGGCACGTGAGGTATTATATCATACCCACCCATCAAATTTTTTGGGAGAAAAAATCACTAGTTTATGTGTAATTAACAGAAATTCCATTGAGTAGAAGTTTTTTATTCCTTTACCGGTTAACTTTCTGGGGTGTAATTGTTATTTTTGAACTCTTCTAACAATCTTTTTTACGGGGTATATTATTTCTGATCAATTGATCATTTATTTTTTTCTAAATCTTTAACTCCCATTCAATTCTGGCATAGTGTTTAAATGGAGATTTTTATGGACATTCTTTTGTGGTAACCCCTGCAATTATTGGCCATCGGATTCAATATTGAGATTAATCCGACAATCAATAATACATCCACCCAGTCTGAAACTCCTATAACAATGGACTGCTACAAATTCTCCGTAATGATTCTGTATATTTTTATGAAACATTTGTTGGGTTTTATATAGATACCTACAGTGAGCTTGCATAAACCCAGAGGTAAGTCTAATGGTATGACATATGAATAGGTTTGAGATTTTGTTTCTCTGGTATCTGTTTGCGTAACATAATTCATAATATTCTGCCAAATGTTCAATAACTATTTTTACATGCTGCAGGTTTTGCAGCAGCTTAAGGAAAAAGCTTTAAAGCGTGCAAACTTGACAGAAGAGAAAGTGTTGGAGAAAATAGAAGAACGGGCTGCTGCTAGAATAGAAAAGGACTATGCTAAATCAGATGCAATTAGGAAGGATTTGGCTATTCTTGGTATTACTCTTATGGACAGTCCAGATGGCACAAGTTGGAGGCCTACCATTCCTCTTCCACTTCAAGAGCTTCTTTAGTCCAGACAGCTACCTTCATTTCTTCAACATATCCAAATCAAAACTCATAAATGTATATGGAATTTAATTGTAAGGGATGCCACTGCTGTATCAAGTTATCAACTGCCACTACGGTAAAGCCTCCCCTTCTGAATTCTTATGTTGTCTTGGTGACCAATATTGAATTAATTATTTTCTTATTTGTCGGGCTTTAACCCTTAGAATATTCTTGATTCATAGTTGCAACACTTTCATATTAATATTGAAATACCTTTGGCTTTAGAAAGCCTTCTTTTGTGGTAATTTTTCGGTTGTTTTTATTTTTTTCTTTTCACTCTTGATCTTTGTTTATGCTAATAATGAAATGGATTCCTAGATCACAAGAAAACCCTTGCATATATATATATATATGTTTGGTGTGGATGAACGTGGGTCATTCAAAATTAACTACTGTGGCATTTTTGGAAGGACGGGAAAATAAAAAAGCAATAAATATAGATAATGATGCATTTGTATTCTTTAATTAAAGAGAGAAAAGAAAATGTCTTTGGAAAATGAAAGCTTTAAAAAATAAATCTTCTATCCAAATTTTTATTTATTCTCTTCATTATAAAGTGTATTCTGATAAGCAATGCCACAAACGAGTGAAATAGTAGCATAATAATTTTTAAAACAATAGGTGTTTTGTATATATATATTGGAAACAATTTATTCATAAAACGAATTTAGAAGAATTTGTTTTGCAAGGTAAAATGAAATTTGTTTTACCGGAAAGGATTTTACTTTCCAAATGTAAATATAATTGTTTCAAAGCTTTTAGAATAAATAATATATGATTAAGATAGTATAATTTTTTTATAACACTAATGAATGATAAGTTTATGATTTTTATAATATTTAAAAAATATATATTAAAGATTTTGTCGATTGGATTTGTAACATCCCAAAAATACAGTATAAAATCATATACGAGAATAATCAGATATTAACAACACTACAGATCAGTTCTGCACTTAACGAGATACGATTATGGCCGAATGACCTTACATAACATCAGGGAAATTAAAAACGTACGCTAGCTACCACTAGACCGGACGGTTTACAAAGTACACTATTATCGCACGGTCTTACAAAAGATAAAGTCAACATCAGACTGAACGTTCCGAAGGTTCGACCTTCACTTCCGCCTCTTCCAATACTTCTTCCAACAGCTCATCTCCTTCTGCTCACATCCACATGGATGATCATTGCAACAGGACAACAACCGAACGCACAACACAGACAACAATGATAAACAGGGTAGGCTTATGTAATTTAATTAATGCAATAACAACATACAACGTTCATGATTCAATCAACAACAACCACATCATAATTCATACACCATGGCATGCAAAGAACGACCACTTGACTCTGACTGTCCAGACTGTATGAATCCTATGTAACTACAACGTTCATGCACCCGGGTGATGTAGTAACTGGGATACCCTCAACAGCTGTCACCCGAGGTTGATTTGTTCCGTCCAAGTTAACCTTATGGACTAGGACCTCCTGTCATTCCCACACATGACTTATTCCTCTCTACATGAGAACGAGTGATCATGGAATATCAGGATAAACGCCCGCTAAGCTTTGCCCACATTCATACTTTACCAATCAATAACCACTTTCTGAGATATTCCTCCCTGGAATACTCGTTCATAATCAAACTATTTCATTCACATCACATTTCAAATTTTCTCATACTTAATCATTAATACATTCAACTGAAATACGATCATATTCTCTCATCATAGAGTAAGTACGACTGGAATAACATTTCTTAGAAATTAACACAACTAAGCGCTACTTATCCACTTCAATAAACAGACCCCTAAGAGTTCAAACCGGACGCCACGAAGCCTAGGCCGAGTACTAAGACTCTAGGCCGAACACCTTTTAAAGACCAACACTGTTTGACACCCAATACTAATACTGATGAGAAATTATGAAATAACGAACGCTATCGATTTTGGCTGAAGACTCTTATCCTAAAACTGTAATAATAGATTACAGAAAATGAGACCCAGCGCTTGGTTTAAGACCGAGCCCTGTAGAAACCTAACACTATTGAACAAGCGCTGGTACAAGACCATAATATATATAAAATTGCGCCACACTTATTTTTAATGAAAAATAACGATAACGTCTACGACTTTACGTAGTATAGAATACGTTAACTAAATTGTTTAGGAAACCTAAAGAAGGACTACACTTAGGCCGAACACTCATTTACATATATATAATATTATGAAATGCTCTTCATTAACGAAATCATTTCTAGAAGGAGAACTTAGTATAGACAGACGCTCAAAGGATAACTGAACGATTAATACTAACTCTCGGTCACAATTTACCTAATCCTACAGAGTATTACAGGTTGACTCTTAGACAATATCACTAAAGCATGAGAAATTAGTTACGACCATGAACTTCCAAGAAGAACCGAACGCTCGCTAATGACGCTAGACCATACTATCACCTTTACTCAGAATACTACAGTTTGAATATCAAGCCCTATCTCAACTCAGTTCACAATGTATATTAGTCATCCATCCACACGTCCAAACAAGCAGTACACGCATATTTCATACTCATCAAATAATCAAACAATGTATCATGCAAACATACCAACGTTCAAAACAAGAATTTAATCAAATTATATAAGCTTCCCTTACCTCTATACGTAACTGAACGCTCAACGATGCAGAATAGAGCTCTCCACTACCAAAGACTTAACGTTCGACAGTCACGTTTTAGGAATACTAAACCAAACAGAAAACCAGAAACACTCAAAATTATACGATTCACTCAGGCGACCAGAAATATAGTTTTGCATGCGAGACTAAACGAACGTGATAAAGAGAAAGGAACTCACCGGCTTAGAACCACAAACCGATCGGTTTAAACGAAAGCTCTTGACGCCGGGAGTGTTCAAACGGTGCCTGAGAGGTGATCGGAAGAAGAAAAGGTGAGATTTTCTTAAAGAGAAGGTGGAGATTTAGAGAGAAGGAGAAAACGTTTTCAGAAATTTGGAAAAGAAGGAAAACATGCAGAGAAGTGACACAACATTTGAAATTTGACATTAAGTACTGCCGTCACCCAAAACCGAACGACCACTCTCTCGCAACCACCTGTTTTCCACTAACTGAAGCGCTCTCTCTCTCCTTGACACATGGATCCCACTAATTGGGGTTTCCGTGGATTTTTAAGAGGTGTGACAGGATTAACAAAATTTAACTTTCTATTATGTGATTAACATGCAGAACTTGATGGTATTTTCGGTACTTAAATTTTAAAAAGTTACTGAATATTTTTTTTAAGTAATAAAATTATAAAAAGTTAATATTAAATTAACATGAAAGGTATGCAAATGTAAATAAGATGGACAAGAAGAAGAACAAAATTGATCGAGAACGGTTTATCCATTAACTTTATATAAAGCAAGATTGAAGAAACAAAAATGTTCATCACAAAAAGGATATGCCAGAAATCAAGGATACGTTTTAACCTAAGCAATTGTTATGAGACATTTTTTTAAAAATAAAATATGTTATATTAATTTTCTATAAAGTAAAACTATCATATAAATTTTTTGATATAATTTATTTAAATTTATAAGTTAATTTTAATTTTTACAAAATAATTTTTATTGTTTATTAAAATATTTAATAGATAGACATAAAAGTACACATCTCAAAAGAGAAATACACATAGAGATGACAAAAATAATAAAGAGATAAAATTTCTGGTTAATCCCTGAATATTTATTATCAGTGAACAGTGAGTATTTTCATATCCGCACTTATAAATAAGTCTGAAGATATCATATTACCCACATTCACAGGTATGTATTATATACAAAAATTAAAATAAAAAATAATTTATATTTTATTAAATTAAAACTAATTAAAATTAAAATTAGTTTATATTTTATTATGTTAAATTTAGTTAAAATTAAATTTTAATTTATATTATATTTCATATTTATTTTGTAATTTATTTAGATTTTACTTTAAAAATTTATAAAAATATATTTTTAAAGGGTTAAATAGATTTTTATCCTTATCCGATTTTGTTTTTTTCCTTTTCTCAAACGGTGATTATTTTGTGTTTTATAAATAAAGGTGTTAGTTTTTTTTTTTTCTGATGTGCTAAGAGCAGTGAGCTAGGTATAAGCCAATTCAAATTTTATTTATAATTATAATTAAAATTAACAGAGAGAAACATTAAATTTTTAGGACCAAAATAAGAATCCCTCTTCTTCTTCCTTCGTTGTTGGGAAACTTTCCCTGTTCCTTTTTAATATTCTCCATCATGAAACCTTTAACTTCATAAACCTGAGCCTTCACCTCCTTCAACTTAGTCCCGCAGCAAGCACAAAACAGACCACGTACAACCTTCCCCATGCAACATAAATCACAATTACAATAAATCTGGCATTATCAAGCTCACACAATATAAACTCAATACCTGAATTTCAATTCAGCGCCGAAAATAATTCATAACAACACGAATTTCATTTCTATTTTCAATTCATTTGCCTAAATCACTTTTTGTGTTATATGGATCGGTAGGAGAAGTATTCACTGAATTATGCTAAAAAACCCTACTAGGCCAAAGTGAAATTCCATTAAAACAATGAAAATTTTGATGACAGGACAGTGAGAGGGATGTGTGAGGGTTCAGATAGATTAAGATGAGTGGTGGGTCATTGGGTATTTGTTTTGAGAGTTATGGTTCTTTAGAGAAGTAGCTATGAACGAAGATGAGGGATTCTAGTTTTGGCCTAAGGTTTAATGTTTTTTTTTAATTACCATCATAAACAAAATTAGAATTAGTTTTACATGTGACACATCGTTAACTACGTTAGAAAAATATTAAAGTTATTAATTAAAAATGAATCAAAATTTCAAAAATGATGAAAATTAAAATCGCATGATAATTTAGAGATTAAAAACATATTTAACCATTTTTTAAATATTTGTGGATATTTCAAGTGTACATGCAAAGATTTAAAATATTCAAAAACATTTTTAAATAAATATCTAATAAATAATCAACAAGTCACGGATGAATTTTTTTTTGTTAACAAATAAATACTATTTGTATTTGACCCAGTCCATTATCATTCTCACACAATACTATTATTTCAACTAATGATAAGTATAACTACTTATCATAAAT